TTCTGTTTCCTTGTATGCCTGCACAGTAATGTCCAAAAACATACTTGAGGAAATAGACTTGTAAAAATAGCCCAAGTAAGGACAAAAATGTCCTCATTTTGACTGAAAATTCAGAATACTGTGATCAAAGGATGCTGTAACTCCCAGCTGTTCAAAGGGACTTGTATTAAAAAAAAAAAATCAGATGTGACCAAGAATAGAAAATAACTCATTAAGAGCTTAACTAGATGATGACAGGTGAAGCCATCAGTTGCTTAAACACTGTAATGTTTTTCTAAGCAGTTTTTGTTATTTTTCTTTTTTTGGTTTTTATTTTTTTTTCCCTGGAATCAATTTATACTTTCTAGAAATAATTATGAGATCAAGCAAAGTTTGTCTGCTATGTAAAATAAACAGATACACAAGACACTGGGCTGTGGAGTAATGAAGACATCACTTTACTGCATTTTAAGCATAGATAAATCACTGAATTTATTTTATCATTCTTATTTATCAATTTTCATCTGAAGTAGCTGCAGTTCTTAAAAGGCAAAAGGAAGGTAATAGGAGTCTGCAAGTAAAAGAACCATCTCTGTAAGTTTTAAGCCTTGAGACATAAAGAAAAGGTCTTTGCTCTGTCTTTTGTGACTTACAAGCAATGAATGGTAGGTGGATATGATTCTCCTCATTTTTATACCTATTGTTTTGCTACCACAGTGTTTGTAAAATGCATTAAAAAACTCTTTATAATTCTCTTAAGCAGCTTAAATCCCTTTTCACTTTCCCCAGGCAAAACCTGATTCACTTGCATGTTTTTGGGCTCTGACCTTCACAACGCTGATCTCCCAACAGTAGTAGCCAGTTTCTTATTCTTTAAGTGCTGGAGGAATCATGAAAAATTCAGACACTGGGTTTCCCTGAGACCAATCTGGTGGCTTTGTCTTTGTGCTAACTGCTGCTTTCTATGCATCATTCAAAAGGTACATACTGTTGTCAGCCCCTGAACTGCTACTTGGTGTTAAACATGAATATTTGTAGCTTAGCAAGGGACTAAATTTAAAAAAATTAATATTTGACAACCTTTGAGAAGGCATTACTGGCATGAAACTATACGAATGAAAGACTGTATTTGTGAAAAATGAAAACTTTCTTCACTGGGGCAATTCTAAACATTATCAGATCTGTTTTGAAACAGCTCTGGTTGCTGGACATTCTTCCTGATGCACAGATTATGATTGTACCAAAGAAAATACTGTAGTACATTTGTTTTTTCCTGTGTACTGCAGGGGAAAATTCATTCTGTGTGTGTGCCACTAATCCTATCTGACCAGAAAGCAGAGAAAGATGGCGTGTGGCTTATTCTGGCTACACATCAGAGATACATCCAATGGTAAAATTGCCTTTTCCCACATTTCTTAATTAGAAATAGAAATGGCTTCAACTAATAGAATCTCTTATTAATAACAAAAGGAATTGCTAGCTCTCTAGTTCAAGTGGCATATCTGCATAACTTATAGCCTTAAGAGCTTGTAGAGTCACTCACACTCCTGGCAGAATGCCTTTTACTCTCCCATATTAATGAGTTGTTCTAAATTTAGTCTACTGTGACAAACTAATATTAATACAGTATTTTATGGCCCAGAGCATTGTTAATGCATAAGAATGAAACACTGAATCAGAAGATGGGGAAAGGAGGCAAGATTACTTAGTATGATTGTCAAGATATAAGATAATCCAACTGTGTAGATATTAAGACTTAAATATAATGCTCTGCTTATAGATTTATATTATGTGAAACATTTTCTATTATTTTAAATCCTTGCAGTATTAGTTTCTTATTTTCAAAGGTTTATAACTCGGTCATAAAAATTCACTCTGGGCTGAAACTTGGCATACAAGGTCTTAACCTGGGAGCATTTTCTTAAGTAAATTTTCAAACAAATCAGTGTTTTCCTTTGGTAAAAATTAGACAACAGTCAACATGTATGTAATTTTCATAACAGGTCACAGAAAACAATGGAAATGAGTAAGCAAAGCCAATTTAATTGATCTTTTTGTATTATTTTAATTCTTTTTAATTGCAAAATGCTAACAGGACAACATATTTGGCAGGTAGTGGCTATTTAGATGTCAGAGTTTATTCTGCTGCAATCAAGGGGTTTTTGTCACTCTTTGAAGGGTAAGTAGGATACAGTACTCCATTTGATACCTATTTGATAGTGATGATTTTACTGTCTTAGTATTTACCTAAATAGATATTTGCATGAATATTAACTAAATATCATTTTACAGGAGAAAAAGACTTTATGCAGAGCTTTTATATAACTTCAGTAGCTGTGTTTTATAAACATGCATATGTACAAATATATTTTATTTTTGCAACCTAAAGCCTGGTCCAAACAGAGTTAAACCATCTACCTGTGTAAACTAAGGGGAAGAAAAGCATTTGAGCCTAACTCATGGAAGGGATGCTGCTCCTAACCATGCCAAGTGTGTCTGGTGCCTGCCAGAATGCTGCCAGTTGTAAGGTGGATCATGGATTTTTACACTGAGCAGTGGGCAACAGACAGCAGAGGAGCTGATGTGGAAGGGTCAGCAATGGATTCTATAAGGGGCTTGACTCCCTGTGCCATTACTGAAAATCCACCTTAAACAGGGAGGGATGATGAAGTTTTCTGACTAGCTGATGGAAAAATTAGCTATATTGGGTGATTTTACTGACAAACTTTGGAAATGGTATATGAACAATAATTCCTGATTTACTTTGGATTTCTGACCCATATAAAATTTAACCCCTGATTTGACTTCTCTCTTCTCATATTTATATGGCTTAGGAAGTTCTATCTCCAGTGTTTGCAGGAATACAGATTAGTTAAGGAGTCTTGAGTAAAGGTGAAAATTGAAAGGCCTGGTATGTGTGATTTTGGGGCCCAATAGACCTTGGAGGAAGACAGATCCCTCAGCCTCATTTGGGTTGTGCTGCAGAGCTGTCAGAAAGGAAGTTGTCTTTGTGCAGGTGGAGAAATGTTCCTATTGACACTCTTTTCAAGGAAATATTTAGAAAAATCAATCTACTTATGGCTGCTGGTGTGGGTTTCTCAAGGTTGGTTAAACTGCATCCAGTGCTTGTTGTAATGTGCTGCTTTGGAACATGCAAAGCATTTCAATGCTTGGTTGTGGGCTAAGAACTGTGTTTTGGGAGTAGTGGCATAACCTGTAACTGGTGACATTCGGGAAAGGAAAATCAAATTGCAGTGAAGTTTTGGTGGACAGGGAGGTTATGGAGTTGGCAGGTGTCTGGCTAGCACAGAAGCCCAGCACAAACTGTAGTGTTATTTTTTGTGCTGGTCAGACAGGAAGCAGTGTGCAGAAAAGAGCAAAGCTCTCCAGCTCTTTCTGCAGCTCCCCATGCTCCAGGAGGAGAGTGAGCACTGGGGTTGGGTGCATGGCTCTGCCCAGGGCCCCCCTCAAACCAATGACACTGCATTGCACGGGCAGTGGCAGGTCCGTGCCTGGCTGGGCAGGGGGAGCAGCAGAAGCTCTGTCAGTGACACAGCCTGGGCATAGCAAGGAGCAGGGATGGGGCTGCAGCTCGCTGGAGGCAGGCTTTAACGAGCACTGCACCAACTGGGCACAGCATTTCCAGCAAAGCCCTCACTTCAGCACTGGTTCAGTCTCCAAAAGACTCCTCTGTGCTGACAGACAACCACAGGCAAGAAATTATCTAAAACTGATGTAATTTGGAATAAAACCACAAGAACTGGCACTAGGGATTAGTTTGCACGTTATGTTGCTCAGGTTGTAGGCAGCCCCTCAGGTGGGTGAGGTGCAGCCAAGGCTGTTGCACTGCATCCCACACACAGTGCTGGGAGTCCTCCTGCAAGAGCCAAGCCGTGTTCATTCTGAATTTCTTCATTGTGTGGGATGCCAGTGCGTTCCACATTGCACAAGTTACGGAGTTCATTAATCTCCCTATGCCATAATGAAGTCTGTTTGAGTCCACAGTGCAGCCCATGAGCTCCTTTTGGCGGGTGTTTGGGGAGCAATGGATCAGTTTTTTCTCTGCTCTCCCTGCCAGTGCTAGGCCTTTACCCAGCAAAGCTAATGCTCCATCCAGCCATCTTTGTCCCTGGATCCTGCTCACACACACTCACTGGAGAGGGAGCAGACTGTCATTTTGAGGCAGGAGTGCTGCTGAGGGCTCTCTTGCTGCCTAGAAGGCAGGATGAAAGAAAGGAAAAGGCAGTCTTCTGTCAAAACTGAAAATGATTCCTACACTTGCTCTGCACTCTTACAGAAACATAAAACAGATTATTGAAACTTTATGTATTTGGACAGTATTTTGGTCTATCTTTTGGTTTTTGTTTCCTGCTTCTATTCCAGTTGGCTATTGACTGGAATTCAATAGACTGGCTATTCCAGTCATGCAGTTGTGTTCCTGCATACCCTCCTGAAAAATCCCTGCAACACAGTCAGGTCTAAGGACTGAGTGGCCCATGATGGTTGTGAATGAACAGTCACTGCTAGTGCTGCATTTTGTGCATCACCTTCCACAGATATTTGCATTATATAAAGCCTGCATTTTGACACATGTAGCAGATCTTTTTACATGAGAGTGGTGTATATTTTGCCTGAAATAATTTGAACAAAAACCTGAATTTTCTATTTTCTTAAATATATTTTTTCCCTATTTCTCCCAGTTTGTTTTTTTTTGTTGTTGTTGGGGTTCTTTTTCATCATTCCTGGCTTTTTCAGATGTAGATATAAAGCTAAAATCAAAGCTGCCACACCAGCAGTTTCAAAAATATGCTGTGCCACCATGCACTTCTGTTGGGTAGTATTTCATCTGAGAAGCTTGAAAAGAGCCTATTTTTAAAGAGGTAAGTGCTAAGCATCTTCTAAAAGGCAGATCTCCCAAAGCTGTATGGGGGTAGCCACCAGGAACTGGATGCCCTCAGATTTGCCAGTTCTTCTGAAGACGTGCCATTGTTTGTCATTGCTTCTCCTTTGCAGTGAAACTCTTCAGCATGTTGATATTGTGGAAGAGAACAAATCAAGCAGCTGCCAAGATTTGACTATTTCCTATGCACAGAATGCTGAAACCTCCCACCTTATGAATCAATAGGTCTCTAAGATGGAATGGAGGATGAGGCTTTAAACTAATTTGCATGACTGCTTACCACTCTAGTGGACAGAATACCTATTTGGTAGCAGTGACTGGAAAGGTAATTTTTAATGTTACATGTTTTATTTCATGCACCTCTAATAAAACACAAGTGTTCTGTTTTTCAAGAAAATACTGGGAGGCACAACCTTAAAGAAATGCTTGCTTATGACCCTGTTACACGTGGAGTTTTGGACTGCAGTGATAAGTGGTGGGTTGATATTTTATTGCTGAAAGGACTTACTTAGCATATGCAATATGCAAAAGGAGGAAAGCTGAGCGTTGGAGCATATTACCAGTGTGCACTTAAAAGGAAATTATCCCATGAAAAACAAACCCCTTGGCTTAAATGCTACTCATAAACTATAAGGCAACTAAGTGTACCTTAAAGAGTGATATTAGTACTTGATGTGGACCAAAACTACTAAAATATTGAGCTACTGTAAATGTTGACAGGTTGGAATCTATTAAATGCATATTATTGTGGGAGCTGGAGACGTGTAGTTTGTGGTTTTTTGTTTTTTTTTAAAATTATGCCTATGGTTTATGAGAATTCCATTTTTTTTTCTGAGTCTGTCAGTGTAGTTCTTTTCAACAATGGGTAGGAAGCAGAAGCTTAAATTGTGTAAGCAAGTGCAGTATGGGAGATATCCTTTTCAAGAGAAAGAGAGAAAGAATAATATAAATCAGACAGGGTGGTGGGCATTTTTCACTGTTATTTTTGTTCCCTTACACATTTGTTTCAATACGATGCCATTGAACTCTGCTGTCTTGCAGGCTAATTTAAGGCTCAGAATTTAACTCTGAACAGGCTTACCTGTATGATGTTGGAGTCTCAAGAATGGTGAAGCATATTTTTAAACCTGAACCCATGAAATCCAAATGTCTGACAGCGAGGTGCTGGAGACATGGAGCGTACAGAATACATAGAAATGGCTAAATGCACTTAACTCAGATGGTTATAAAATAGTAATGGAGAAAAAAATCACCAGCAATGATAGAGCAAGGTAAGAATTTCTCCTAATGAATCAGACATCTCTTTTGACTCCTTTGTCTCGACTGGTGTGCACTTTGGTGATTTTAATTAAGTTTCTCATTTAGCCCGTGCAGCTGGTTCAGCCGGCGGTCTCTGGGAGCCGCCCCTCGCTAGAGGGCAGCATTTGATAAAATGTTCAAAGCCAGCTCCCCACGAGTGAGGGACACACATGCAGATCACTCTAATGACTCTGCTAACAGGGATCTCTGGCAAAAGTTTTCACATCTGTTTGTGATCTGGGGCCTGGAACAATGTTTGGGTTGATGAGAATTTTTGAAAGAAATGTAAGGATTTATTCCACTAATAAATATGAATTGGTGTGAGATGGATTTATTATTTCAGGTTTGCAGAAATTGCGCCCTGCAGCCCTATCTTCTATCCTTAGCCTTTTAAATGTACAAAAATTAATAGTTTAAATTTTATATTATTGCAAAAGAATAAAACATGAATAGGTTCACTTCTCTATTAGCCCTTCCCTTTAATTTCATTTTTTTTATTACTACTGATTTTCAAGCAGTCATCTCAGCATTAGTATTTTATTCAGCAAAAATCTCTTGTTGCTGCAGAGTCTCAGTAGATCTGTATGGCTGGGCACCTGTGGAGCCCGGTCATGGTGCTAGAGGCAAAACCTTCTCTTGTGCTGGTTGTGGTTCTCAATTGTGTGCAAGGCTTTGCCCTGGCTTTGCCTGGGCTTCCAGCTATCTTGGACAGGCCAGCAGCTCCCTGCAGCCCCCAAAGGGCCAGGGATGCAGATGGCCAGGAGGCAGCCTACCTGGAGTGCCTGATCAGACAGGAACCCTTGAAGAGGTGTGATTTGGCATTTAAGGTTAGATAAACAGGTATTTCCTGATTCATCACTAGCCAAGAAATGCCATTTTGCTTCTCTGAACTAGGGGCATCAAATGAAAAGTGACTTCTGCCACCAAGCATTAGGGATCTATTCGAGGAGACTACATCACCCTTGGCTTTCTAGTTGTGGGGGAGGGAGAGATTGTTAAAAAGGACAGTTTAACTGACCTAAGATTTGAAATGCCTTCTGGAGATGTGCATCCTCCAGAGAAAGCATTTGAGTGATAAGACATATAATTTTTATGTGTCTAAAATGAGGGGTGTAGCCTGGACTCCACAGCCACATAGGTCACTTTTAACAGCCATGCCAATGCTTTTCCCTGGTGAGCAGGAGGCAGATATGCCCAGGGTTTGTGCTGGAACCATTATGCTGCTGGGAAAAGCTCTGGTGCTTTAATAGACTTCTCTTTCTTACCAGGTTAAGTGGCGTTGACTTAGGTGAACTCTTTGTAAATGACATCTTTGCTGGGATTGCTGTGTGCACAGGCAAGGTGAAAGCCTGATCCTGAGGATGTGTGTGCTCAGCCTGCAATAAACATGCCAAGGACTCTCCCAGCTCAGGGGCTGAGCTGTGGTTAAGCACATTGCACCCCGTGTGGTTCACGTGCTGGATGCCGGGTGGGTGAAATTCTCTTTTCCTATTTTGAGCTGTTAGTCTCCAGTACTGGCTGTAGCTTTATGGTTACAGATATTCCTGTGTAGTTAGAAAACCAGAAGAATTCATTTGGATAGCATGAGATGTGGAAATGGAATATCATTGTCGTTATCTTTAGGATTACATCTTTCACATGCCAGGTAAATCCAGGAGGCAGCTAAACATTTTCCCCCATGACATTATCACAAATGTCATTTGGTGCTTCAAGACTATTTGAGCAAGATAAATCACTGGCCCAGTGATGTTTGTATCATCATATGTGTGTTACTTTTTGCTGGAATAGATTGTCACAAGACAGACTTTATTCAGTTCTTCAAGACAAAATTGTTTTTTTGTTCTTAATGGTGGATTTTTGTTTCATTTTTATTTTTTTAACTGTTGTTAAATACCTCTCAATGTGTCCCTGTTTGTCTGGAAGCTATACAGGTCTTTGGGCTGACAAATGGCTTAGAGATGTTTAGAGAACTTACCTTATTTATGCACAATGTAAGATATTTTTGTCTTCTGTCCCACTTGCATATTTCTACCTGGTTATGTGATGTCTCTGTCAAGACCTGCCCCAATAAAAGAAGAGGAAGGAACCATCTGTAGCATCCCTGGGAACTGTAGCTTCCTGTGACCATTCAACAAAATCTTCAGTCTATTTTTGTGTATCCTGGCTGGTTAAATTATTGCTGCCTGGTGAGTAAAACACCGTGGCGCCACTGAAGAGCACAGCTCAGGGCTTGAGTGGTCTTCACCCAACAGCAGAAAAAAAACAAACCATTGCTCTACATTTTAATAGAGGTAAGAGCATACAAGAAATGTCTGGCTCATGGTGTTAGGACAGAGAGGTTCCCCCACATACACCAAAGGCATAGGCACACAGCCCTGTGTCTTCATTTCATTTTAAATTAATAATCTTGCCAGTTCACTTTGAAGCCTGCAGTCCAGCCTTCACAAAGATCACTGCTTACCAATGAGATATGGGGCAGAGCTGGTCTAATAGTACAGGAAGACTGAAGTTTTATGCCATCTTTATTATCAATGCTTGCTGAGGAGCACTGTGCTTGCTCTATGAGCTGTGCTATAATTCAGCCAGCTCACAGTACTGATCCTGCCTGCTGTGGCTGGTTGGTGTAACTGAAAGAACAGAGTGTCCAGAGGAAACTCTTCACAGAGAAAAGGGCTAGAGCCAGATCTCTTAATACCAAAGATCACATGAAATATGTAGTAGTACTTAGTGGTCCTTCTTGGACAGAGATTTATTGAACAGTAGCTGCATCTGATGAGGAAGTGAAAACATTTCATTTTGTTCCAAATAGCATCATCCTGTTCCCAGACCTTTGGTGTCCTAGAAGGGTCTAAATGTAATTTCTTCTTTCCAGAGTCAACACGAAGAGATTCTTCAGGACTGATGTTCCTCTTGTCTTTCCAGGAAATGTGGCTCATTCTTTAAGGTACCTTTAGTGAAAGTAGCTTGTTATCAATTAGTACAGTCCAGGAGCTTCCAAACCTATTGTAAATTACCCATAGCTGATGCAGTGTGGTCAGCCAGGCGATTGTATCTCAGCAAAGCAAAGAGAATAAAATCCCGGTCTCCTCACCAAGGTGAGGTGCCTGGAAGCAGGTTAGTACAAGTGTCCTGCTTGTGCTGTATGTGATGCTTTTACACCAGCCTTGCATAGTGGTGATCCCTGTAACTGCTTTTCTCCTACCCTAGAAGGCAGGAGCCAGCTGCATTCCCTCAGTCTCATACCTCATGGTATCTCTCATGCCTTCCTTTTTCTCTCCTGGACTAAGGGGAAGGGAGAGGCTTGCTAGGAGTGCAGATCCCTTTGAGATCCATCCAGCAAAATGGAACGTTTGCAACAGCTTTCAAAAGGGAGGAGTCCCTACTGCTGATATTCCCACTTGCTTGGATGGAGAGCCAGCCCACCTCCCCTCCCACACAGGGCACTGCTGGGACTGCTGGCAAGGACTGGCAGCTTCTGGACTTGATATCTGTGCCATGGCTCATGGCAAACTGCTCACTGTTCTCATGGTGCAAACTGGAAATAATCTTAACGTGGAAATTGTATAGCTGCATGCTTCAGCACAGGGGCCTTTTTTGTACTGGCCTGTGCTGTCCATGCCTTAGCGCACCCATACTGGTCAGTTTGAAAAAACAAACCAAACCAAAAACACCCCCCAAGCCTTAAATTCGAGCGCAAAGGAGCCCCCAAAACCATTGCATTGAACATCATGTTTGGTACTCACTGGTTTTGTTTTTTATTTGGGCTGAGGTATTTAATTCAATATTTTACTTAGATTGTAAACTCAGCTGTACCAAGAATATACAACAGTAATTTCTCTACTTTTTAACTTGTCACTCTTTTTTCTACAATGCTCTTGTTCTTGTTGCTGACAAGATGACAATAAACCTTTGAGGGTTTAGTAAACCCTCAAAGACATGGAAAAAGGTCATTTGAAGCAGTATTATAATTCTATAATTTCACAGCTTTTTATAGGGCATCACAGACTACAGAGGTAATGCTGACAAACTTTGGCCTGTTACTGGGAAATGCTTGATGAGTAAAATCTGTGATTATAGTGAATGATGAGGCCTGAACACCTCTTCTTCTGAGGCAGCCTTTTCACTACTGAAGAGGATTAACAAAAGAGGCAGATGCCAGTGACAAAGTGCCAATATTTGTTAACAGATGTGATCCTTGTAATGTAGCATGTGTTCTTAATTTGGCACGGCTTGACACCAGGAGGATCTCTGTAAATAAGGTGTCATTAGCTGTGTCCAATAGGCTTTCCTCCTAAACTGGTCTTTGGTTAGCATCCATGCTCTGGTTGAAACTGGCATCCTACCTTGTGAATGGGCTACATGCCACTCTGACAGATGGGCATGACAGTAGACCAGCCAGGGAAACATTAAACTCATCCAAGCTGGGTATTGAGAGGCAAATAATCTATCCAGAAATATAACATGGGCAGATTTGTGTTACTGTAATTGGTGAAGTGCATATGCTGTTGCTACCTGAGCTCCTAGATGGTTAAATGTTTGCATTCTTAGACTTTGCTTTGTTTTCCAGATTTTGGTTTTAGAAGAATGAAGATTACTGCTTAAAAAAAAAAAAAAAAAAAAAAAAAAGCAGACAAAAAGGAATCTGTTTTTTGAAAAAAACTTCTATATTAAGTGAAGAAAATATCAAGTGAGTCAATCATGTTTCTTGTTAAGTAGGTTGATGCCAGTCTTCTATTTATGTTGACTTCCAATTAAGTATTTAGGTGGAAATGTTTTGCACAGTATTTTCTTTCTCCAGTTTAAAAATTAAAAGATGTTGAATAAGATATTTTTCTCTCTCTGAATCTCTGGAGCAAAAATGTATTCTGTTGCATCAGTGAGAAGTCAACTGAGTTACTTGAGGAATTGCTTGTCCTGATGTTTTTAGGAGGGGAAAGCATAGATGCTTAAGAAATACACATTTAAAGGTTTAAAGATCCAAAAAGGTAGATATTATAAGAATGTAGGAGTTTTCTCTGTAAAAACATTATCACAAAATTTCTGCTCATAGAATTCTACTTAACCACTTACCTTTGCTTGCAGATAAAATTGGCCTATTGTTTTACTTAGAAAAAATATTGAATTTGACTTAAAATTGAGAAGAGTTCTGAAGTATTTTTTTTCAGAAATTGTAATGCTTTGTATTTAGTGGAAATCATAGTGTGCATGATGGGGACTTTGAACATCTTTCTGCAGCCAAATGGATTTTCTTGTGATTTGTAGCAGTGAAGAAACGTCCTGTAATTTAGAGGGAGAAGGCCCCACTCTCTGATATGATCAGTGTAACTCTGATATTCTTGTAAGGCTGCAGTGCTCTTAGTGCAGTTTAGTAATATCTGCATATCGGCACAAATTGATCAGTCAGATCTGTTTAATTTAAAAAAGCTGAAAAATACCTGTGCTTTGATGGAAAGCCCAGGCACTTGTGCTTACCCTGTGAGACACAAGGCACTGGCCCTGGTGAGTGAGGGGCCCCTGGAGGGCCACCTTTGCTAGGTGGCAGAGGTTGTGAGAATAACGCACAGGCAGACTGCTTTTGTCACCCAAACTCTGCAGTATGGGCACGTTTTCCTACCACTGGAGAATTCATGAGCTTCTGTAGCCTTTGATACAGATGCATACGGTAACTTGTTGCCAATTTTGTGCAATTAGGGCATACAAAATGGTTTCCCTGTTAGGAATGTTGCATGTGCTACGACACTAATTAGGGGTTTCTCTCCTTTACATGCATGCCTGTCTGCCATTAATATTAATGGCAACTTTGCCCAAGCACAGGGAAAGACAAGACCTGTGTAGTTGTGACTTAAACTTTTGCCTTGGAAATTCCCTATATAGTTGTTCTTGGAACCTGCTGGCTTGTAATTTGCTAAACCTACCTGTGAAAATGGTGGTGTGTAGATAAAACAGTTACCTTTGTAAGGGGTATTTCTATTATCTGTTCTGTGGTCTTCCCCCTCTGGGTCTCTAGTTTGTCCCTGTGGTTACATTACAAGCATTTCAGCTATTTAAAAAGCCACATTTTATGCATACTTAATTTTTTTCCTATAATGAAGCTTATATTATAAATTTTAAAAAGCTCCAGTGGCTATACAATTACTCCATGTTCTTGCAAGAAGGTGCACCATACTATTTTCTAACAGAAAAATTCAAAGGAATAAATCTGCTAGTATTGTCAGAGGAGAGGTACAGGCTCATGGGGTTTTAAAACTCCACTGAAATTTTGGGTTTAGTGCAGACTGTGATGGAACACGTGCAGCATGCATGCAGGGCTCTGTGAAGGCAGCCCAGCAAGCCAGCTCCAAGGAAGGAAAGCTGAGGAGGCTCTGGTGCCTCCAGCTCACTGCCAGCTCATTGCAGGGGTGAGCAGGGCGAGGCAGAAAGGCAGAGCAGGATGCAGAGCCAGTTTTAGGAGGAGACGGCTTCTCCAGAAAATGAAAGGGTGCTTAGACAGTGGGTGCTTAGTCTTTTGCTCAAAAGCCACTTGGAATGGTCATTAAGATGCTGATTGATAGGATAAGTGATGTAGCCTGGGTCAAGCTCAGTCTTTGTCTGTTAGCAAAGACCACCAACAAAGACATGACATGTATCAAGGACAGCAGGTGAGGGTGATTTGCAGTTTGTGCTTTCATCTGTGAACGTGCAATAGAATATTTTTTGAATAATCCATGGTTCTAGTTCCAAATACATTCCAATTACTAGAGCTGATAGTACAGATTTACTTATAGGTATAGACATGCTGAACTCTTTATTTTGGGAGTGCTTGAGCAAAATTTTCAGTTCTCTGAATGGCTCAGAATATGAGTGGATTATTCCATCTTCACGAGTCCTCTGCAGGTGATCTAGAGATGCTGAGAGGAAAACAACCAATATAAGCTAAAAAGCAGGGCTGAAAGGAAAATCCACAGGGCTGTGGAATGTCAATTAAAGTCTGAAGATGTGAGTGCTGTCAAATCTTCCAGGGGAAAGAGTGTCTGCCATTTATGCAACTTTATGTGAATCACGTTCCTGACTGATCAGATAATGGGCTGATGGATCTGAAAGGATACATTTTTTTTATTATATCAACAAAACCAATTTTCAATTCTGAATAGTAAATCCCTTCCCATCCCCAAATTTCTAGCCTACAGAGAGCATGACTATGCCAGCAGTTCACTCCCCCTGGATGACAAGATCTGCTGCAACAAAATA